CCCACATGGCGAAACAAAGCAGAAAGGCTCGTGGGCATGGCGAAGGCCAGCCCTGCGCCGAGGAGACCCTGGATCATCCCGGAGCCCGACAGCCCTGAGGTGGAGACGGGGGCGTTCGGCCGCTAGGCCATCCCAGGGCAGCGCCACCAGCAGCAGGGCTGGGAAGGGCCCCCTGGCCAGGCGCGACCATGGGGAACACAGTCCTGCCAATGTACCCCACTTCTGCCTCCGGCCCTATAGGAGCTCACGTCATGGGTTTGAAGCCCCAGGGCCATGCTCACTGGTCACGGCGGCCAGAGGGACCAGGACAGTCCCCCTCTGAGAAGGGTGACATACTCCAAACCACCTCTGAGGGACAGAGCAGCTGAGGCTCTACATACCCCCCCTCCCCCGCCCCTCCCAGCCTGCCCCACCTCCATCGCCCCTGAACACCCCGAGAGCCAGGGAACCCCAGAGAGGCACGAAGCATGAGGCTCTAGGAGACTGGCTGTCCACCGAGAGGGCCCCGCGGCCCTCGGCACAGGGACGGAGTCGCCTCCAGGGCTTCAGGGCTGGCAGGCCCCCAGGCCCCATGCGGGTCGTGGCTAGTGAGCCTCAGCAGACCGGGTGTCACTGGGGTGCCAGGACCACCACCGTGTCAGACACCCCCTCATCCTCCCCTAACCCTGCTCGGCACACCCCGGGGTTGAATTCTTAGTTTTATTTCATCCCTTTGTTTTCAACTTGTCAGTGTCACTGCGCTTAGCATGTGTCACCTGTCAATAGCATAAGCCAGATTGTTTTTCTTTAATCTGATCTAATAATCCCCTCTCGTTTGTCAACTATGTCAATTAATTCACTGCCTTTGATGTAAATATAGCTATTACCATTTTATGATTACTTCCTGCGTTGTCTCGTGGTTTTCGTTATTTATCCCTGATCTTTTCTAACTTCCATTGGGTTCATCCAATAGGTTCTTTCTTGACTGAAATGGGCATCACCACACTCCAGCTCTGTTGTCCTCATGATTGCTCTCAACATTGTCGTGTAACTAAGTGTACGACTTACATTCCAAGGCAATATCTCCATCCATCGTTCCCAAAAAATAAATGAGAATTTCCAATTCTAATCATGCTTCTTCCATTTTCCTTGTGATTTTTATCTCATATTTTGTTTCACTTTGTTCTTGAATGAATTTTTTATTCTCAGTGACTTATTTTGATGTACAAAGTTGTCTGCCAGTGCCAGAGCTGCTCACGAGCACTTGCCCGCCATCCCTTCTTCTCAAGGTCAGCATTTTTCTTCTTTTAATTCTCCTCGAAGGGAGGTTTTTTGAGAGCTCAGATCTCTCTGCCTTTGAAAATATATTTGTTTTGTCCTCATTCTTGAGTAATACCTTAGCTGGCTATAGAATTCTAGATTATTCTTTTTCTTTCAGAAATAAAAAATATATATTGAGGGCCTCTCCGGTGGCGCAGAGGTTGAACGCTGAGTTGCGAAGCTGCCTACAGACTCTGCAGCACCGGTTCAATCCCCGGCTGCTCCCCGGCCACCAGAGGAGGGTCCCCCATGGCGCGCAGACCTCTCCTGCCGCCCGCTGCTCCCCTCAGCAGTGTGCTTCGGTCCTTCTGCCTGCTCTGCTCCCCGTTCTGGCTCTGGTGAATTCTCTCACCCTCCCGCGCTTCTGACTGTACCCAGTGCTTGCATAAATAAATAAATAAAAATCTTTAATAAAAAATATATATATTGATATCAACTGATCTCTATGTGATCTGTTGTGAGAAAAATTTAGTCAGTCTCAATAGTATATAATGAACTTCTTTTCCTTTAAAAGAGTTTTCCTTTGAAATTCTACTGTTTCATAATATACTTAGAAGCATATTTGTATTTTTCAATTCTACTATGACTCTGAGGATTCCAGTACTTATCATCAAACAGAAAATGGTCAAAATGACCCCTCAGTATTACTTTTTTTTAAAGATTTATTTTTTCATACAAGAACCAGGGTATAGGCCAGAGGTGCGGGAGGGTGAGAGGATTCACCAGAGACAGAGTGGGGAGCAGAGCAGGCAGACTGACTGAAATACACTGCTGAGGGGAGCAGCGGGTGAGACAGGAGAGGTCTGCTGCGCCATGTGGGTTGCTCCCCAGCCAGCCGGCATCAAACCCACGCTGCAGAGGCTGCGGAGAGCTTCACAGTGCGGTGCTCAACCGCCTGTGCCACCAGGGAGGCCCAGTATTACTTTTGTTCCATCCACTGTACTGTCTACTTGGAGAACTCCTTCCAAATGGCTATTTTTTCATTCTCTCTCTCTCCTCCTCCTCCTCCCTCCCTCTCTCTCACACACACACACACACACACACACACACACACACACACACACACACACTGGTAATATTCTCAGATCTATCTTCCACCTCATCTATTCTCTCTTCAACTGAGTCTAATTTTTAACTCATACAACAATCTTTAAATTTTAATAATCATATTTTCTTATTTCTAGATATACTATATCTTTCCAAATCACCCTTTATCTATTTTATCATTTCAATATATTGTTCAGTCTTTTGGTGTTTTTGTTTAAACATAACTAGCTTAAAATATCTTATAAATTGATACATTATCTCATTTCTTGGGCTAAGTTCTATTGTCCACTAACTCCATTTCATGAAAAATTATTGGTGATTTTTTTCTGCTTTTGTTTGCTCCTGTGATAACTTTCATTTATTTTTATTAAGGACCCAGGAATTTATGTGTATAGGACCAATTTTTACGTTAATTTCTTAGCTTGGAGTTTCAGTACAATGATAATAATGTAAATTTGGACTCAAAACCATGCATGGTTCAGGCTCAGTTTTACATTTTTTCAGGGAAAAATTTTTTTACCCAGGATTTCAGATACTCATTATAATTTCTTGACATTTTGAGGACAGTGGATAGAGTTTTTCTGAATTAGTTTACATGGAAAAGGCATCACCATAGAAGTGCCACAGCTTTTCTGTGGGTCTCAGTGTTAACGCTCTGTCTCTCTCCTGGAACCATGCCCTTGGTCCCTGGTCCCAGAGAGAAACCCGGCACCAGACTCTGGATTCTGTCCACCCTGGGCCCAGAGGGCCAGCAGGTGCTCATGCTGGGGGCCGTGGACTTCTTTTCCTTCTGGCAACTAGGCATGTTTATCTCCTTCCTTCTTCTCATGTGAGATACACACACACACACACACACACACACACACATAAATGTTAGCGACAGAACTTAACAATGTGTTTGGAGCAGGAGAGATTATCCTCCCTCAATATGCCATATTTTCACAATCATATCTCAGTCAGGAAACCAAGTTACTTTTTGCCACCTACATAATTTATTATTCCCACTGGTAAAAGGCACCACTTCAGATGGCTCCACGTCTCTAAAACTGTCACTTCAGTGCCTGCACCTAAGTCCCCAGAAAAGAGAGCTTGAGGCAAAAAAATTGTACTGTCAGTTTGGGAGTGCAATGCCGGGGACAAGGGGCGGTGGGGGGAGACTGAGGCAGGGCAAGGCAGGGCCAGGAAAGAGTGTTGCTGCACTGGCAGGGGCTTCGGATGATTCTGCCTCAAGGGACATCTTAGGGATGCCTACGGAGCTGAGTGTCAGGCACCAGATGTCAGAGGGGAGGAATAACAATGGGGTGTGGCCTGGCGTTTACCACAGCTGGCCCCAGGAGCTGCAGTGTCCAGCATTGCTCACTGGACACTTGTGGCCTTGGTGTCATGGAAAACTGTCTGGTGTCTGTCCCCAGTCCCTAGCACATTTCCTGAGTGATGGGGAGACAGAGTGGCTTTAGTTCTAATGAGGCAACTCTCGGCAGAGTGACAGATGTGGGCTGCCTGCCAGGGGCCAAGCGCTGGTCAGCAGCTAGGAGCTTCAGCCCACCCCACACTCCTGGGAGGGGCAGGAGCTGGGCAACGAGCTGATCCCAGTGAGCTGCGATTATGTAAACAAGAGAGTTGGGACAGCTTCCGGGCTGCAGACTCCAGCAAGGAGCTGGGAGAACAGTGTCCCGGAGGAGCCTAGAAGCCCCACAGCCCTGCCCAGGCTGGGAGTGGGCAGCTCTTCTCCTGGACTCTGCCCAGGCTGTGTCCTCTGTAACAAGCAGGAAGCCTGAGTTCTCTGAGCTGTCCTGGCACCACGTCACGCCTGGGCAGGGGTCATGGGAAGCCCCGGTTTATACCAACTCATGGCGAGGAGTAGAGGTTGTCCAGGCCTGCAGGTGCCCTCTTGTGGGACAGTCTGGAGTGGGGAGGGTGGGGCTCACTTGGATGGTGAGTGTTAGACTTGATTTGTAGGATCAAAGCGGAGACCTGGATAATGGATGGTGGGAAACCCCCAGGGGCTCCTCGGTCCCTCCACAGCAGCAGGAAGCTCAGAGGAGATGAGCAGACACACCTGGTGCAGCAGGGGTGCCATGGAGCTGGGGTGGCCAGGGGGAAGGAGCAGCTACTGCGGGTAACCCCACAACAAGCTGGCCCCGCGGTGTGAGGGCAGCCGGCTCCCGAGGGTACATAGGTGCACAGGTAGGAGCCTGGCTCGATGCGGGTACCGGCTGGCTCTCCTCCCCATGCCTGCATCCCACGAAGACCTTTTCAGCCATGTTTCCATGGAAAACAATTTGATGCCGTTTCTTTGAAACCTCGGAGTTGTAGCTCCCCTTCCGGCGAATAACACATTCATAAATATCAAAGCATTGCTTTCATTACAAATCAAAGTGTTTTTATGATAATTTCGAAATCCCTGAAGCAAAAATGGCCCCAGAGAAGTTGAGTATTCCTTTTTGAGGAATTATAGACCCAGGAATTAAAGGAAAAATCACAACGTGACTGAAGAAATTCTGGAAGGAGACACGCTGAGTTGCCGAGCACGGCGGCCTCGGCGCGAGGAGACCAGACCGCGCAGCCACGGGCCGGTGGAGTCACTGACGTGACTAGACCGTGCGGGACTCTGCTTTGAAAAGGTTAACAAACCATTTAATATAGGTTAACATTTTAATTCTAAGTACATAGTAAAACTTTTAATAGCCCCGGTCTCAAGTGTGAATGCTGTCTTATCACTAGCTGGGAATTCAATATTTTATCTTTTGCCCCAAACACACGTTTCCTGGGGTGATGTGATGTGAGGGGAGCCTTTCCTCAAGTTCCAGCTGACATCAGGGACCACCCAAGGGTGACGCAGGCACTTCCTGGACGGCATGGCCACCCGAAGACAGCCTACGCGGGGCAGCTGAGCAAACACTGACAAGGGCTGGAGTCGGGCCAAGCCGGTTTGAATCCACCACTTGACAGGTCTGAGGAGCCGAGCAAGCCCAACTCGCCAGCCCTCGGTTTCTGCATCTGTGAAGCAGCGATAACAACGTCGTAACCCCACGGACTGCAGCGAGCACTCAGCGAGATGGCCAAGGTCAGCACAGCTCCGGGCCAGCCAACTCCAGCAAATGCTTTCTGTTTTATTCAAACTTGTGTCATGCATTCAAGAAGCCAACGATCTAACAGAAAAGCGAGCGTTTAAGTGACTCCCACGAGCCGGAGGAAGCAGCCAGCAGGAGCCGGGACCGTGCTCCAGGCCGTCTGCCGTGGGGGTGGGGCAGACGACGAACGCCCTTGACGGGGCCCGGGAGAAGGAGGGGTTCTCAAAACACCTGACGAAGAGGTGGTGATTGGGCCGCCCGGGCAGGCGGATGTCACACAGCAGGAAGGTCACCACAGCAGGCTCCCGCCCCCGGCCTGGCTGCCAGGCCACGTGAGCTTCCACAGGGCGGCGATGGATAAGGCGGGGAGATGGGACGGCAGAGACACACGGAGCCCCGGGGGCCACATGTGCCGCTGGCACTGATACGGCTGAGCCCATCGCCTGACAGCCCTGGGCACTCACAGACCTTGTCACGGCTGCACGATGCGCCTGGCGTGGGTGGACAGTGGACACACAGTGTTTATTCATAGCGCACCCGGAGCGTGTCAGTCCAGCTGCCCATCTCCGCACAGCCCGCCGGCACCCTGGGCCACAGCCCGTCCTCCCCCGTCCTGAGTCCAGGGAGGCTGAGGGAGGCTGTGGGAGCCCAGGTGGAGGACAGGGCCCAGCCCCCCAGCAGGCTCACCGCCCCGCGGGCCTGCCCAGCTGATCTCCAGCCTCCTCACACAGCACGGGCAGTCGCAGCACAGTGCCCAGGACGCCCTGGGGAGAAGAAAACAGGAGCTCGAGATAAGGAAAACAGAGAAAATGGAAGTCATGAAATTATTTGAAAATACTTGGGTACACAAGAATGTCCTCAAATTGAATGATGTAACTTTGCCAATTCAAATCCCCACCACGTGCCCCGACCAATAAAAGAGACAAGGACACACCCTGGGACATAACACCCCGCCTGGACGTGTAAGGCCACAAATAATGAATATCAAAGGGTTTCAGGCTGGGGTGCCTGATGGGGGTGTCCAATGTTACCTCAATTAATAATAAGTTAATTTTTAAACCACAGAACAGTAAAGGACGATGTCTCGGCCTCACTTTTGCTCTCTGGCTACGGAGCCTGGCCTCAGGCACCCTCTGCGGCTCTACTGTGAGCATAGATGGCGCTCATAGTAGCCATTGTCTCAGAGAGCGGAGCCCAGGCAACGTCGGAACCTATGTCCTTTGCAGAAAGCTTCCGTGGGACTTTGTGTGGTGAATCCAATAAATTAACTCCCAAAGAACTGTAACCACCACCTACAACTCCAAGGACAGCAGAACAAGTAGCCAATAGGAAATTCAGACCCCAGAGCCTTTGTCAAATGGAAAACATCGGGCAGACACGCATCCTTGGACAAAGATAAAACCACCCCAAAAGTCCCTCCAGATAGCAGATGAAGGCAGAGTCATTTCTTCTAAGGTCAGGGACAATAAACTTGGATTTTTTATGTACCACAACAATTAATGTACAAGCAACTATGAAGAAACAAGACTATGTTCTATCAGTCACGTGTGGAAATCAGGGGGTTGGTTCATGGTTAAACACATTTTTAAGGTTGTGTTTTCTTAATTTAAAAAAAGCAATGAATAGGGCCTCCCCTGGTGGTGCAGGCAGTTGAGCGCCGCGCTGTGAAGCTGTCTGCAGCCTATGCAGTCCGGGTTCGATCCCAGCTGGCTGGCGAGAATCCCACATGGCACAGCGGACCTCTCCTGCCTCACCCGCTGCTCCCCTCAGCAGTGTATTACGTCAGTCTGCCTGTTCTGCTCCCCGCTCTCTCTCTGGTGAATCCTCTCACACTCCCGCGTATCTGGCCTGTACCCCGGTTCTTGTATAAATAAATAAATAAATCTTTAAAAAAAGCAATGAATAGCTAAATTATGGAAGCAGCCTAAATGCCCCAGAACAGATGAATGGCTTGAGAAGATGTAGTCTATATACGTGATGGAATACTACTCAGCCATCAAAAAGATAAACACATGCCATTTGCAGAAACGTGGATGGAGCTTGAAAGGACAATGCTAAGTGAAGTGAGTCAGAAAGAGAAAGACAAAAGCCAGCTGCTGTCACTAATATGTGGAATATAAAGTAAATTAATAGACAGATAAAGACAAGAAGAAAAATTAACCCTTGATAGCTGATTACAGAACAGAACCACCTGGGAATATGTATGGTGGCGGACAATGGGTGAGTTGGTGGAGGGCAGTATGGGGGTGGTAATACCTGATGGAGGTACCCCAATATTACCTCAATTACACATAATTTTTAAAAAACGTAGCAAGATCCATACAAAGTGAAAATAATGAGCTCACTTCAGTCTAATGTACCATTACTGAGGTGTCCTTTTTGATAATGATTTAAAAAAAACTATAGGGCCTCCCTGGTGGCGCAGCAGTTGAGCACTGGGTTTTGAAGCTGCCCGCAGCCTCTGCAATGCCGGTTTGATCCCCGGCCACTGGGCGAGGGTCCCACATGGCACGCAGACCTCTCCTGCCGCCCGCTGCTCCCCTCAGCAGTGTACTTAGTCAGTCTGCCTGCTCTGCTCTCCCCTCTGGCTCTGGTGAATTCTCTCACCCTCCCGCGCTTCTGACTGTACCCAGTGCTTGTGTAAATAAATAAATAAATCTTTAAAAAAAAAAAACTTAAAAAAAAAAAGCTATAAACCTATTTTATCTCCCTCAGCTTATTGTAACGGAGAGTGCTTTCCTGCACAGGGTGGAAAGTGGGAATGTGGAATGCATTGGGGACAGCTCACTTTAGTTTATTACTAAGGAAAGAAAAGTCAATAGAATTTCATTCGAACCAATCTTTTTTCTCTCTCCTTTAGGAAAATAAACCTGAATCTTACATCCAATATTAGCTTGCCCTTTGAACTTCAAAGAGAAACAACCAATTAAATCCTCCCTTATATACTAACAAGAGTTTATAGACAACCCCAGAGCAACGCCCCGAGGAAATCCGGAATGCGCAAGACCCGTCCGTCTGTGTCAGAGCCCCACTCAGGCCCAGGCTGCGAGGCTTGCAGTGAAAGGGGCAGAGCTGGAAATAATAATAAAGCTGGAAATAAAGCAGGAAAAAAGCTATTTTTTTTAGTATTGGCTTACAAGTTATTCCTTTTAAGAGACCCTATTACAAAGTAGTTAGGAGTTTCTGGAATTAGATTTCATTTAAAAGGAATAATAACGGCCAGTCTTACGGCACTGGGCTGAGGACTGTTTCAGCGTAGACACAGAACAGACGCAGACGGAATATACCTATTATCACCACCGCTGGCGTAGAAGAACGACCTGTGACATGTCTTCACGGTATTTTACATCTCTAGCCACACTGCCATGCTCGCGTGATGATGCTCCTGTTTTCTCTTTTTTTTTTTAACAGACTTGGAAAAGGTCGTCGATTCCGATCTTTCATTTTGTCAAGTAAGGCTAATATGTTTTATTTTCTAATTCACTAATTTTTCCTTCTGTGTTTATCAATCCCTTCTGTCTCGGTCCTTGTTGGTGACGTCGGGTTTCTTATATGCTTTCCAGCTGAACGTCTGATTCTCTTCCAGGAATCGCTGCCTTCTCACAGCGAGGAGAGATCAGGCTTCATCATTGGCCGAGATTCTCCATTCAAGGCCAACGAGCTAGGGAGGAGCTTTCATTTAAACTTGGGGTTTGGGCAGGACGCACCTTCAAGACTTGCACCGCTGGAACTCACACCGCAAACAGACGTATGGAAAATGATGCAAATCTACAAAATGCAAGAATCGTAAAGCATAATGTCCCTGTCCCCATCACCCATCTCACCCCGCCTGGCCTCTATACCCGCTAATACCCTGATGCTAAAGCTTGTGACTATCATTCATTTACTTGTAGTTCTACATTGTATGTGTTCTCTCTCTCTCTCTCTCTTTCTATATATATATATACATAAACACACACACATATATGTGTGTATATAATATATATGTCAGTTTGCATGTATCTTTGGACATCTCCAATATCCCCCACATTATTGGGGTGACAGCCTAGCTGTTTGCTGACTTAGTGCTGGCAGTAACGTGGACATTCTAGGTATTGCTTCCGCAGCAGCTACGCCATCTGCAGGAGCCTCACACCGGAGCCCGCACAGCCGGGTGTGAGGATGCTGTTGCACAACATGTCGCAGGGACACCTCCCTGTCTTTGTGGGTCAGCTGCACATCTCCTCCAGAGTTCAAACATGGGGTTTCCTGCACATTCCTTGGCAGGCATCAGTGCTGTGCTGCCATGTGCAGCTGAGCAGATCCGCTCCCCTTGCTCCAGCACTACCCATGGTGACTCTTCCAAATTGTTCACCTACTTGGCTATGGATGGACAATTACTCTGCTCTTTTTTTTTTTTTTTTTTTGTGGGGCCCTCACCGGCGGCCGGGGAACGAACCCGCACTGCAGAGGCTGCAGGCAGCCTCGAGCCCAGCGCTCAACCGCTGCGCCACCAGGAGAGGTCTGCTGCACCCTGTGGGTCACTCCCTGGCCAGGGATCGAACTCATGCTGCAGTGGCTGTGGATGCTTCCTAGCGCTGAGACTTGAACCCTTTGCCACCAGGGAGGCCCTTACTCTTCTCTTGTGTAGCTGTAAGGTGTTCTGCACACACGAGGACCATCTCTGTCTAGCAACTGAATTGCTGTCCAGCAGCTTATCTACATGTTCAGCCTCACTAGCTGAAAAGTAAACTGGCTGCTCCAGTGCACACGTCCACTAATGGAATCAGAGCACTTCTGTTGCCTCAAGAATCCCCAGCACTTGGTATTTATCAAATTTCTAAATATTGCCAGCTTCCCGGGTGAAACTAGTTGATTACCTGCAAGCCTGACAATCTTGGGTCAAGCTCATAAACTAGTCATTTCACTGTCTACCTCTCTGAACTAACTAGTGTTATGTTTTACCTACTTTTTATTTAATCTTTCTTTTAATTGATTTATAGGAGCTCTTTATTCTGGTTACAAACATTTACCACCTGCACTACAAAGATCTCCTTTCGAGCGGACACCTCTTTTTGCTTCTTTGTCTTGCTGAGTAGAAATTTATAATTTTTCTTATTTTAATGTAGGTGAAAATATAAATCTTTCCCCCTTATGGTTTTTCTTTTTTTAATTATTTTTTTATTTTAACAGTTCTGTTTCTTATTTGATACATGCTGACAGAAAAGTGGGTCTCCAATGTGTCCCTCTGAGTTTCGCCTGGAAGCCTTAAGTCTCCTCCAGGTTGACTTGCGGTCAGGGTTTGGATTCTCCTCGTGGCGAGGGACTGTCTGGGCAGTGGGCAGCGGGCAGCAAGCCCTCCTCCATGGGCATCAAGTCCACAGTGGGCTCCCCACCCCCTCCTGGTGGCCCATTGACCTGTCTCTGTTGCCAGCGACGGTGGTGTTACAACAGGTTTGTCATCAGGGAAAGCCAGGTCTCCAATTTTCTTTTTTTCTGCCAAATTGTCTCGGCTATTCTTAGTTTCTGCTCTTGCATCATAAAAGCTCCTTGTCAAGTTACATTTTAAACACTTGTCAGGATTTTGATTGGCACTGAACTCAATTTATGGAATGATAGAGGAGGCATGACGCCTTTATTATATAGAATCGCTCCTTCCGTGAACTATAATGTTCTTCCCTAGATGAGCTTCTCAAGATCTTTTTTAAAGTGGTGCATTTTCCCATGATGTGGTTAGCGTGCACGCGGCATGTCTAGTGTCCATGTTCTCCCAAAAGGTACCAGGGAAGAGAGGCGACGGAGATTTGTAAATTGATCTTCTCTCCAGCAAGCTTGTGGGATCACAGACAGGGACGTGTTTCTATTATCATCGGGAAATTGCCTGATACCCGACTCCCCAGCCGGGAGGCCGGAGCTGGATCTGAGTCTCTTCTCTCCCTTTGGTATCCGGTGGCTGCCGAGGCTCCCACCTGCGGCCTGCTCGGGTGCAGCAGTGACCAGTATGTCCCTCTGAGATTCGCCTGGAAGCCACACATCTACTGCCCTTTATATGTAAAAGAAGAAAAAAAGGGGGAAAAAAAGAAAAAAAGAAATGGCAACGTGGTGACGCTGGGAGCTGCTGTCCAGCGCCGTCGTGTCAGCATTTTACCGTATTTGTGTCAAAAATGCGCGCGTAGTGGTTGCTCCTGCATGTTCGCCCTAAAGCACGTGGTGCTACGTGTCATTTCTCTCTCAGGAAAGCTGGGGGGCGCGGGGGGCGCCCGGCCACCGCCCTGAGTGTCCGCGGAGGCCGGTCCGGCGTGAGCGCCCCAAGCCGGCCGGCACGCGCAGTCCCGGGGCGCACAGTCCCAGGGGCGCATGGCCTCGCTGCGCCGGAACCGCCCACGTCCAGCATCCGGGCAGTGGACAAGCCGCCCTCGGCGACTCACGGCGGATCCCGGCCCGCACCCCCTGGGGCCAGCCCGCCCGCCGCCCTGTGTGCGCGTCCCCCACTGTCCCGCCGCCGCCTGCACCCCACCGCGGGGGGGCCCTGCAGACGCCCGCGGGCGGGCATGACCACAGGCGGCCTGCGCCCCCGCCCGGGACACGGCCAGCCGCGGCCCAGCCGCTGAGGAGGGGCTCGGGACAGCTACAACACGCGGGGACCCCAACATTCCGGGGGGACTCCCCGAGCTTCTAGAAAGGCCAGACGCCAGCGAGCTAACCCGAGAGATGGGGATTCGGGGAAGGAGGTGCACAGGCCGGGGGTGGGGACCGAGGGGGGCCTGGACTCTCAGGTGCTGATGAGGCTCCGGCCTCCTTGGCCTGGAGCTGCGGGGGGGGGCGCCCCGCTGGGTGGGGTCGGGGTCCACCGTGATGCCGGACACTTCCCGTGGCTGCCCATGGGTGACGCCGGCAGAGTCTTTATTTTTAACTGCACTGACCAGGTGTGGGCCACTGTCTCAGCGTCATCACCCCGGGTGCGGCGGCCTGCGGGCCTAACGCTGGAAAGTCAAAGTCAAAGTCAAAGTCAGGACCCACCATGAAGAACTCTCACTTCCCAGCTTTCTTTCCTTCCTAAATAACAGAAACCAATAGAAGGAAGGCAGTTTATTTGCCCCAATAGATATACCTGTCTGGTCTAAGAGGGCAAATAAGAGCAAGTCCCTTGGTTTATAAATCCAGCCCTTCCCATAGCACCCAACACTCATCAAAGTAAAGAAAAGCAAAATGTAAAATTTTAGATTTGTAGAAATATAAACTTGCACATATAAATGCTATTTGTTTGTCAAGGGCTGATAACGTATCAGTGATCACTCCATGAAATAATCATATCGTAATTTACAGTTCTCTTAAAGCAGCAAATATTTAAAAGAATCATTTGTTTAGCCTTGATTTATCCGCTTTTCAAGTACAGCCACAGGAACCAAGATAAAAGCATTTTGATTAAAGAGCAGAACATTAACGAGTCCAACAACACAATTCATTCACTGCCTCTTTTAAATCACGAGCCACTTGCCATCCCTGTGTTATCCTGAACATAAAAATCCATTTTTAATTTTGAAACATTTAATCATAAAATATTGCAACTATGCAGGAAAGACTGAAGCTAGCATAACAGACAGCACCCTGAGAGTCTTAGCATCTGATTCTCTAGCGAACACTTTGACCTATAAATTTCTGGTATTTTCTCTACTTTTTAATTTAAAAGAAGGTAGATGGAGCCTGTCACCCCACCTGCCAGTCACTGAATTCCCTTATCGCAGAGAGAACCACTAGCCTCAATTTGGCACTTTCACATGCTATGTAATGTATTATTTTATAAATTCCTTAGGTGCCTAGATCACAAAAAATACCATTTTATATATTTTAAGTTATGCAAATGACTGCTCTGAATGTATCTTTATTTTAGGTGGAAAGTTCTAAATGGCTTCCTTCGGGATAATTTTTCATCACTCCTAGGACTGAAATCACTGACTTTCGTCCTCAAAGTGCTGCGAGGGGCAGGTTATAGCTGCGGTGTCCCACTCTGCCTGTCATGCTTTATTGCCTAAGCTGCCTACGTGCAAGTTCAATCTGGCATCTACGTTTGTAATTAATTAGATCCCAAAATAGAAAAGGCAGCAGAGAACAGAATTTTGTTGTTGTTGAAACTATCAGACTTGGCTGGGGTTCTTGGTCTCTCATTACAGTCCACGCATGACACCTCAGTGAGAAAGCTGCGCTCCCCCTCCTGACTTGGCGGAGGGTGTCATGAATCTTTTATTGGGGAGCTTGGCAGTAAACCACGCTCATTCTTACAGCTCTTTTAACCCTGCCCCATTGCGGGACAGGTGTATCCTCCAACTCATGCCAGACACCTCCCACACCCCAGCCCCTGCCACTGACCCTGTCCACTCCCCTCTACCGTCATCCCACCGCCAGCCCCAACACACTCCACCCACTCAGCTAAGCCCATGGTCCAGGTCCATCCAAGGCCACTGAACTGACTGAACTAACACTTAATAACTGGGCCCTTTCAGCTGTTCTCATTATAGTTGCTCTGAAGAAAAAGCAGAAACCTCAGATTCTTCACATTTAAAGCTGTGACGTGATTCTTCTCACGGCTCCAGCCTCATCAAGGACTGGCTTCCTCTCAGTCTCTGCCCTGGAACTGTGACACGCTCATGCAGTTGCTTGAAAATTCCGTGTGTCCATCCCTCCTCACAGCCTTTGCAGAACTCAGCGCCCTCGCGCCACACTCACTGCGCACACAGCGTACCCAGGAAGGCCCCTCTGGCCCGTGACTCGTCCACAGGCCTTTCCTTCACAGTCTCACGTTACCCACGCGTGACGCAGCGAGCAGGTGCATGCATCAGTGTTTCTCTCCCTCCAAGCAGCATGAGCCTTCAGAGCAGGGAATAAGTCTTTGTTAATCAACATCCGCCCTTTAACCCGTAGTA